TCTCTCTCTGTCTCTCTGAGTCTAGCTAAAGTTTTATAATTTTGTTGATCTTTTCAAAGAAACAGCTCCTGGTTTCCTTGAACTGTTCTATTGGGTTGTTTTGTTTTGTTTGAAGGTTCTATTTCATTTATGTCTGCTCTAATATTGATTATTTCTTTCCTTCTACTGGTTTTGGGTTTTGTTTGTTCTTTTGTAGCTTTTTTAGGTGTAAAATTAGGTTGTTTATGTGAGATTTTTCTCTCTCCTTGATGTAGGCCTATATTACTATAAACTTCCTCCTTAGAACAGCTTTTGCTTCATCCCAAAGAGTTTGGACTGTTGTCTAAAATTTTCTACATGTATTTTTTAATTTCCTCTTTGATTTCTTGGTTGACTCATTCATTGTTTAGTAGCGTGTTATTTAACCTCCATGTATTTGTATTCTTTCCAAATTTTTCCTTGTGATTGATTTCTAGTTTCATAGTGTTGTGATCATAAAATGTGCATGATATGACTTTGATCTTTTTGAATTTGTTGAGACTTGTTTGGTGGCCTAGTATGTGACCTATTCTAGAGAATGCTGACAAGCACTTGAAAAGAATGTGTATTCTGCTGTTTTAAGATGAAGGTGTGAATATATCTGTTATATCCATCTGTTCCAATATGTTATTCAAAGCCATTTGTTTCCTTGTTGATTTTTTGTTTGGATTATCTATCCATTGATGTAAGTGGGGTGTGAAAGTCCCATATTATTGTTGTATTATATCAATTGCTTCATTTCATTTATGTTTGTTATTAGTTGCTTTATGTATTTGGGTGCTTTATGTTGGGTTCATAAATATTTACAATTTTTATATCTTCTTGTTGGATTATAACCTTTATAATTATATAGTCCTTCTTTTTCTTTTCTTACAGGCTTTGTTTTAAAGCCTATTTTGTCAATTATGTAAGTATTGCTTTGCCAGCTTCCTTTTCATTTCCATTCACATAATCAATGCTTTTCCTTCACTTCACTTTTAATCTGCATGTGTTTTTAGTCTGAAAGGAATCTCTCATAGACAGCATATAGATAGATCTTACTTTCTATCCATTCTGTCATGCTATGTCTTTTGATTTGAGCTTTCAGTCCACTTACATTCAAAATAAGTATTGATAGGTGTGTACTTATTGCCATTTTGTTGCCTGCTTTATGGTTCTTTTGTAGTTCTATTTCTTTTCTGGCTCTCTTCTCTTGTGACTTGTTGGCTTTCTTAGTGATACACTTGGTTTCCTTTCTGTTTTGTTTTGTTCGTTTGTTTGTTTGCTTTGCATATTGATCACTGATTTTTGATTTGTGGTTACCATTAGGTTTGTATATAACATCTTTTTCATATAGCAGTCTATGTTAATTTAATGGTCACTTAAATTGGAATGCGTTCTTTATTCCTCTCCCTCCCACATTTTAGGTATATGGTGCCATACTTTATATCTTTTTATTTTGTTAACCTTTTGACTGATTTCTATAGATAAATTTATTTTTACTGCTTTTGTGCTTCCTACTTTTCTTACTCCTACTTATCATCTTTCCTTTCCATTCAAAGAGTTCCCTATAACATTTCTTATAGGACCGGTTTAGTAGTCATGGATTCCCTTAACTTTTGTCTGGGAAACTGTGTCTCCTTTTATTCTGAATAACAGCTTTGCCTGATACAGCATTCTCGGTTGCAGGTTTTTTCCTTTCAGCACTTTGAAAATATCATGCCACTCCCTTTTGGTCTGCAAAGTTTCGCTGAAAAATTAGCTCATAGCTTTATGGGATTCTCCCTTGTATGTAACTGTTTTCTTTTCTCTTGGTGTTTTTAAAATTCCCTCTTTATCACTACTTTTTGCCATTTTAATTACTATGTGTTTTGGTGTGGACCTCTTTGGGCTGGTTTTTGGGGGCTCTCTGTGTTTCCTGGATCTCGATTTCTGTTTTAGAAACCAGATTCAGTAAGTTTTCACTTTTATTTCCTCAAACTCTCTTCTCCTTCTGGGATCTCTATAATGCTAATGTTATTACACTTGAAGGTGTTGCTGAGTTCCCTAGGTCTATTTTCATTTCTTTCCCCTCTTTCCTGTTCAGCTTGATTGTTTTCCATTACTCTATCCTCCGTGTCACTGATTTGTTCTTCTGCTTCCTCTGGTATTTTTATTCCATCTGTGTAGTTTCAATTTCAGTTGTTGAGTTCTTCTCTGCACGGTTCTTTTTATGTTTTCTATCTCTTTTTTAAAGAAAGGTCCTCCACTTACTTCACTGAGGTCCTCTAATCTTCTCGAGTCCAGTAAGTATCTTTATGACCATTACTCTACATCCTTTATCAGGCATACTATTTATCTCCATTTCTTTTATATCTGTTGCCATGATTTTGTCCTGTTCTCTCATTTAAAACATAGTCTTCTGTCTCCTCATTTTATCTAATTCTCTGTGTCTGTTTATATGTGGTAGGAAAGTCAGTTGCATCTTCTGTTCTTCAAAGTAATGGATTGGGGTGCCTGGGTGGCTCAGTCAGTTAAACATCCAACTTTGGCTCAGGTCATGATCTCACAGTTCATGAGTTCAAGCCCCATGTCAGGCTCTGTGCTGAAAGCTCAGAGCCTGGAGACTGCTTCAGATTCTGTCTCTCTCTCTCCCTGCCCCTCCCCTGCTTGTGCTTTCTCTCTCTCTCTCTCTCTCTCTCTCTCTCTCACTCACTCTAAAATATAAATAAACATTTGGAAAAATTTTTAAGTAGTGGCTTTATGAAGAAGAGACCCTGGAATGCCCTGCAGTGCAGTGTCCCTTGTCCACCAGAACTTAGAGCTTTAGAGGTATCTCCTATGTGTGCTATGTATGCCCTGCTATTGTGGCTAAGCCACTTTTACCTTCAGTCCATTCATCTGCAGTGGCTGTCCTTGCCTGATGTGGGCAGGGTTTGGTCCTTGTGTTGTTAGTGGGCCAATCTGGGGATGCCTGGACTTGAGTTGAGTCAGACCAAGCATTTACCAGAGGTGCAGTAGCATTGAACTGCAGGGTGCTTTTCTTGTTTTGTTTCCTGAAAAGCTTTCATTGGTGGGCAGGGCCTGCAGTCAGACCAGATGTCTGTCCCCAGCCCATTGCCGGCCCCTGCTGGCACTGCTTGCACATTGCCAGGTTTGTAGCATCACTTTGGATGGGCTCCATCCAAGAGCACATTGGAGAGGGCAGGACCACAAGAGAAAGCAGGGGCAGGCTTGGCAGCATTATCAAGGTTTGCATCTTTTGGCTGCAGAAGCAGTGAGGTGGTGGGGAAATTAGTGTGGAGGACAGGATGTCTAGTGTTAGCAAGATTTGTGCAGGTCTGCTGTGTGAGGGGACCTAAAACAGAGGTATAACTGGAGGGGGCATATCTATGGGAGGTTGTGGGGGTGGAGTATGCTGCTACAAGTTAGGTATTAAGTGTTGGCACTACACTGGTTCCCACAGGTGTCCATGTGTCTAGGCTGGGGGGAAGAAGAGGGATATGACGTCCACCAGCTCCCTTGTTCCTGGAGAAGTCTCTCAACAATCTTTACCCCTACAGCACACACTGCAATTAGTAAACAAATCTCCTTCCCATATATTACAGGGGGTTTTCAAACTGTGGCTTCTATGCTGTATCTGTAAGGTTGTTTGTAGCACTGCCTCTTTAAAGGCAGGTCCTCAGTTTCCTCTCCCCCTCCCAGAGCTGAGCCCACTGACTTTTAAAGTTCTAGGTGTTAGGGCGCCTGGGTGGCTCAGTCAGTTGAGCATCCAACTTCAGCTCAGATCATAATCTCTCAGTTCATGGGTTTGAGCCCTATGTCAAGGCTCTGTGCTGACAGCTTGGAGCCTGGACCCTGCTTCAGATTCTGTATCTCCCTCTCTCTCTCTGTTTCACCCCCACTCATGCTCTGACTCTCTCTCAAAAATAAAAAATAAACATTTAAAAATAATTTTTTAAGTTCCCGGTGTTAGGCCCCACTGATTGTAAGAACTCATGAAATTAGACCTCACTGTTTTTCAAAACTAAATGTTATGAGGACTCATTTTCCCTGTGCGAGAGTCTGTTTCTGGCCCCTCTCTCACCTCCCCTCCCTTGGACAGTCCTATGGGTCTATTTAGCTCCAAACTGCATCACCACTCTTCCTACCCTCTTTGATGTGACCTCTTCTATACATTTAGCTGTGGAGAGTTTGTTCTGCTAGTCTCCAGGTCATTTTCTGGATTATATGTGGGGGCTACCTAGTTGTATCCATGGGACAAGGTGAGCTCAGGGTCCTCCTACTCTGCCATCTTCCCCAGAACCCAAAATGTTGTTACATTTTTTAAAGGGTTCAGAACAGTATATACAGTATGCTATCATGTATGTGTCTACACCCAGAATATTTCTAGAAAGATCAATAAGAAATGCATAACAGTAATTTCTGGGGAGATGAAATAGGTGGCTGGGGACACAATAGCTTGCTTTTTAAATTATGTACTCTTTTTTGTATCTCTTCAATTTTATGTATTACTAATTTCCAAAAAAAGCAAATGTAAACACACACAAGTACACACAGTGGATAGGGGAAATAGAACAATAGGGAAGGAAAGGACTAGGAAGAAGTTCTGGAAGCACAATACGTCATAAATTCAGAGCAAAAGACAAAAGCAACTCAAAAATCTAGTGGCAGAGCTCCCTGCTCCACAGTATTTGGGACTGACTCATTTATCCATTTGTTCACCAAACATTCAAGAGTGACTTCCATGCGCCAAGCAGGTGTTAGATATCCAGGCACAGGCATTGTCCCTATCCTCAAGTAGTTCATATGCTGATAGGGAGTCATGCTGAGTCATGGAAATAACACCTTTAGAGGATTTATAGAAATGTAGGAAAGAGGCACTCAGTCCAGCCTGAAAACGTCCCCTAAAGTGTGCTATCTTCTTCCTTCTGTGCCTAGCTCTTCTATCATCAGTACCTTCTTCTCTCAGCCCTCCTACTGCAGAAGGAATGTGAATACTCTCATTGCTGTTGTCCATACAGAGCAGGTGCAGGTGCCTCAAGTCATCATCAAGTCCGTGGACATGTCTGATAGTGCCTTGTGTAACGTTACCTTGACTTGCTCTGTGAAGAGGGCAGAGACAAGTGTTCTGTACAGCTGGACCTCGAAGAATGCCCAAGCTTCTGAATCCCATGGGAACTCCACTATCACCATCTACTGGACACCATGTGACCCAGACCTGCTCTACACCTGCACAGCCAGGAACCCAGTCAGCCAGAGCACTTCCAGCCCTGTCAGTGCCCGGCAGTTCTGTACAGGTACAGGCTCCTCGTAGGCCCTCCAGGGGATTCCAGAAAGTCTGAATAGCTGTGGAGTCTAAACCCCCAGGGTTTTGCCAGGACACATGTGAAGTGGGAAAACAAGAAGGCAGGTTTCAAGACGCCTTGTTCTCCACCATCTGGGGACCTGAGAGAAACCGACAGGGCATGTAGGAACTATCAGGGAACTGAAACTTTAAGGGTAGAACAAGGGAAGAGAAGAGAGTTTGGATGAAGACATCCAGTTTTCTCTTTGCTTGGGTGGTAGTATCCCCTGGGGTCTCCTCAGAAGAACAGGGAAGGCATGAGAGGACTAGATATGCAAAAGGCAGAGACAGGTGCATATCTGTCTGTGACAAGTGTTCCAGGGATGCCTCATGAGAGTAAAAGAAAAGGGGTGTGAGCAGGAGAGCATATGGGACTTCAATATCCTTCAGGCAGGCTGAGGGTTAATAGAGCCAGTGACTGAAGCCACAATGTCTCATCTCTGACCACAGCTCCAGGAGCCTCCAGAGGAGGATCAATGGCGAAGACAGTGGTGGGGATCCTCGGGGAGTCAGTCACCCTCCCCCTAACACTCCCGGCCAGTCACTACGTGAAGAACGTAGTCTGGATGTTTAACACATCTATTATCACCAAAGAATTGGGAGTGAGGTTCAAGGATCCTGACAAGAACTCTAGCCAGGACTACTCCCTGAAGATTGAACAGCTAAAGATGGAGGATGCTGGCCACTACTATGCCTATGTGTGCTCAAAGGCCTCCAGAGTCATCAGCACAAAGCGTGTCACCCTGTTCATCTACCGTGAGTTTCTGAGCAGAGCGCTAATCATTAGATACCTTCCCTGAAAGGTTCTCCTCTTTGCTGCTTTCCCTGCCACCTGCTTCCCTCAAGTCTCTCCTCCTGCCAAAATGCCTCAGGTCACTGGGACAGCTATTGAGTCCACACCATCCGACTCACAGGAGTTAAAAATTTTAACCAGAAACTGGCCAAATCCATCTGCCAATGCCTGCCTTCTAGGCTTCCAGTTAGGTTTCCACCATCCGTCTTCCAATACTTGCCCCTGTCTTCCTGCATTACTTATCAGGTGTACTGGGAACTCTTTTTATAGGATATTATCATTTTTGAATAAGGGAACAGCTGTCTGGAGTGGAATCAGAGAAGACTGAGGAGAAAGCCTTTAGTGTCCAAAGACCCTCTGACCTCCACGAAGGCTGCTTTGCTCTCCTGAGTGTCATCACATCTCCTGCCTGGGTTTGTTGATGTCTAAGTATCTGTGAAAAAAGTCACTGTCCATGGTCCTGCTAAAGTATTCCTAGAAGTCAGCTAGTCCACATCTATAACAGCTGTGACTCAAATATAATTTTTTAAAGCAAGACGATTAAGTAAACATAACAATAAGCTGGGAACTACTGATGCTCATCTTACATTTCTGTTAAGTTATTTTTATTTTTTTGATTTTTAAAATGTTTTGTTTTGTTGTGTTTTTTTATTTCTAGGAGAGAGAGAGAGAGAGAGACAGCATGAGCAGGGGAGGGTCAGAGAGAGAGGGAGTCACAGACTGAAACAGGCTCCAGGCTCTGAGCTGGCAGTCAGCACAGAGCCCGACGCGGGGCTCGAACCCACGAACCGCGAGATCATGACCTAAGCGAAAGTCGGACGCTTAACCGACTAAGCCACCCAGGCGCCCCTAAAATGTTTTTATTTATTATTGAGACAAAGAGAAACAAAGCATGAGTGGGGGAGGGGCAGAGAGACAGGGAGACACAAAATCCGAAACAGGCTCCAGGCTCTGAGCTGTCAGCGCAGAGCCCAATGCGGAGCTCAAACCCACAAACCACGAGATCATGACCTGAGCCGAAGTCGGACGCTTAACCGACTGAGCCACCCAGGCGCCCCTTACATTTCTGTTAAAATTGCTAACATTTATTGAGCACTAATTCTGTGTCAGTGCTGCATTCACCTCTCTATACTTTATTTCCTGAGTAAAAAAACTTAGATGATCGTGCCTCAAAACATAAGCCTTGAAGAGTCTTCAGAATACATGGAATGTTGTGCTTACTTGTGTGGAGGGGTTTGCTTGTCCTTCACAGGGTACTGTATAGAATGATGTGGTATCTTTGTTTTCCTGCTTTTCATTAACTCCTTTAACATCTAAGCATCAAAGACCCAAGAGTTGAAGTGATATGTCTGAGATTTCATAGCCACTAAGGGAAAGGCCACGTGCACTCCAAAATGTCTTAACTCTTGGAAGCACTTTCTCAGCCCTAATGCAGTGCCAACACACAACTTCATGAGTGTATTCTGAATGAGTAAAGATGTGGTGACTGCCCAGAGGGCAGGCCTGACTACATTAGATCTGTCTCCTCAAACAGGGAGGCTGAAGAAGCCAAAAGTTACCGGGAGCCTTGGACTCACTGAGGATGGCGTCTGCAGGGTCAGCCTGACATGTTCAGTGGAGGACAGTGGACACAATGTCACATACACATGGACCTTCCTACAGAAAGGAACCATCATGTCCCAAGTGGGACCTCATCTCAATATCTCTTGGACAAGTGACGAAAATCATCCCAACTTCACATGTACCACCAGGAACCCTGTCAGCAACAGCTCCCAATCATTTCTTTCTGGTGACATCTGCCCAGGTTGTCTTGGATCCAACAGTCTGCATTCTGAGTGGTTCTTTATGAAATGCAGTGAAGGAGTGTGGGCGAGAGTACTTTAGAGTAGCACATTCCAATAGAAATACAATGGGAACCACACATGTACTTTACATTTTCTAATAGCCACATTAGATAAAGCAAAAAGAAACAAGTAAAATTAACATCAGCAATATATTTTGTTTAAACCAATATATCCAAAATATCACCATTTCAATATGTTCCCAATATACAATTATCCTTGAGATAATTTACATTTCATGCTGTACCAAATCTTTGAAATCTGATACGTTTTTACGTTAACAGCACATCTCAATTCAGATGCCAAATTTTCATGGGAAGTACTTAATCTGTATTCAGCTTTCATAAAGCTTAGAGTTGAAAAGCTAGATTTACATATCCAAGTTGCTCCAAACCTACTTATTGGGTTTTTCAATAAGAAATTGAATAGCCATATTTCAATTTCAATTTTTAATAAATAAATAAAGTAAGCAATTTAGCTCCTGAGTCATACCGGCCACATTCCAAAGGCTCATACCATGGCTTATGGCCATTATACATGAGAGTAGAAGCAAGAAAGGAAGCCCTGATGGCTCTTACTAGATGCCAGGCACTAGTCTAGGTCCTCATGAATTTTAACACAGCTTCACAACAATCTTATGCAGCAAATATTCTTATTATTCTCCATTACATAAAGAAACTGAGACTCTGAAAGGATAAGGGACTTCAAGCATGATTGAAACCCTCAGTGCTGTGCTTTGTTCTGCTCTATAAGGCAGTAGAGAAAAGGAAGGTTTGCTTAGAATGTGACACAGCTAGGTCAGGCTGGTAGATGGATTTATACCCCAATTATGTGGGAATTTTGACTCTGTCTTGAGCCTGGAATTGCCCTTACACCATTTACAGAAAGGAGCAGTGTAGTGTGAGACATACGGGTATTTTAGAATCAGGCAGTCTGCATCCTGTTCAGGATGAATTCTGTGACACTTGGCAAGCGGCTCTACCTAGGGACAGTGTCTATCTTACGTACTGCTATAACTTCTTTCCCAGAACAATATCTGTTCAATAAATAGTTATAGAATGAATGAAAAGGAATATTTTCTGCAATAGCATGAAGTTTTAAGAGGCGGGTAGGATGGTCTTTATGCTTTGTCCACTGATTGTTCCAATCTCCTTATCATTATTTATATTAATACCATTTATTTCTTCTTCAAAGGTCATGAGAGAAACATGAAGCTCTACATTGGCCTCTCCTTGGTGATTCTCATTCTTCTATGCTTTGGGAACTGCATCTGGTGCATTTGGAAGCGAAAAAGACCACGTGGGTTTCTGAGATCAACGGCATCTGCCAGCCCTAGACCATATCCCTGGGACCTTTGGAGGCTTATGTGCCCTCTCATGATCCCCTTCTGCTCCTTCTATCTCAAAACCTCATTTTTTTCTCAGAGTGATGGAGAGGAAGGGGGCTAGTTGGGACTCTAAATTTAGTTACAAATCATTGAAACCCCATTCAAACTACCTTTAAAAAGAGGAAAGATGCAGGAGGTGTGATTTATTATTTTGAGGCTCACATAATCAGTCTGTGGGAAAGGCAAGGAAGGAGCTGGCCTTAGCGACAAACGTTACCGGAGCCTCAAAAGTGACCAGAGCTCTCCATCTCTCACCCCTACTTTTCCCTTTGAGCCAACTTAATTCTTTCCTACTGCCCCCAGCTGAGGAGTAGGGGTGGGGTGCACCGCAACCAGAAACTGGTATCTCCAGATGCACACCTACTAGTCGATATGCCACCGGGAAGAAAAAAAGAGGTTTTCCTCCAATTCCAATTTGAAAGACCTCTGATTGGCCCGGTCTCAGGTCATGTGGTCATGGCTTGGGCCAATCACTGCATCCAAGGGAATTAGCTATTATGATTGGCAGCTCCCTCAGAATCTTCTATTGCCTTGGAAATGGAATAGTTACCGGAAAAGGCACATTGGTCAGAACACATAAGTTCCCTGGAATAATCGCTGCGGGCCGGCAAACCAGTCTGATGAGTGGCTACCACAGCAGGCTCAGAGGGATGGCAGGAGGCTCCAGGGCCTTCTCCTCAGTTGAAGATAACCTTAGACTCTGGTCACCCTTTCCCGTGGGTTCCTACTCACATCAGGGTTCATCTTCTCCCTAAAGCCTTTTCCTTGGCTATGTCCCCAGAAGTCTCTCCCACTCTCTTTTGATGCTCACAAAATCAGATGCCTGTCTCCTCGCAGCCCTAATGATAAATCTTCTCTGTGTTGGCTTCTCAGGCTCAGCCCCAGCCTCCAGCTCCAGACAAGCTGAAAGCCCAGTGGACGCACCAGGTAATATCACCAATGACACAGGCTATGGGGTCCCTGGGCCTGATGGAAGCTCCAAAGCCTGGAAATCTGTTTTGTGCGGTGTCCCAGCCAGCAACATAAGTATCACCCAGGAGCTTGTTAGAAATGCAAACCTTGGTAACCACCCCAGAATACTGAGCTCTAGTCTGTATCTTAACAAGGTGAATCATGTACCTGTGAAAGTCTGAGAAATAATGTGGTTTGGAGAAGGAAGATGTTTTGGGGTACAGAAACTGCAATGAGGATGGACCTCATAAAGATAGCAACCAAAGCTAGGAGAGGCAGCCTGCCCTCTGGTTCCTCAGACATTGATCATCATCACTTGACTGTGGCCTCTGATGAGAATAGTTATTTTCCTCATTCTGAGAATGGAGAAACAAAGGCCAGATAGAATGACAAACCTGGGGCAGAAGCAAAACTAAATCCTAATTAAAATTAAACCCATGACACTGTCTCAACACCTATTACCCAAGAGCATCACTGAGGCAGTAGTTTCCAAATTTCTGAAAAAGCTAAGGAATGCTTTCTTCACACAAAATACTGTGCAACACCCCAACAGCACGAAGTGTGTAAAAGTGGATCTGTCCTGACAGGTGTTGGGGTGGTGAGCTGAGATGCCTGCATCTTACCTTCCCACCCTCTTTCCCATCCTTGATGTTCTCAATTACCACCTTGAACTCTAAGTTCTGGAGTTCTAAGGAATTCCCAAACTCCACCCACTCAAAAAAATCCTGCTTTTAAAAACCCATGTAACCTCTCATGGAGGAGATCCCCCAAGGAGATGGACTAGGAGGAGGGACTGGGTGGGAGGCCAGCGGCTCAAGTAATCCAACAATGCAGGCTTTTCGGAAGGAAAAGTGTAACCAAGAGAAAGGGACCAAGAAACGGGAATGAGGCTAAGTGTGGAGTTTCCCACCAGCTACCTCCTGGTCTCCCCTAGCCTGTGCCCTCATTCCTTGGCATCCAGGGCACAGGAAGAGGAGTTAGAGAGTATTGGGGACAGCACTTTTACCCCTGCTCTTCCACCTTCCCCAGCACGCTTCCTCCGCTTCCCAGGTCTGCTTCTTTAATCTCTCCACCATCTCTCCAATGTCTCCTCTAGATCTTCTGTCACTGCCTAGGTTCATGCTGTCACCAATTTTTTCGTTTTATTGAATAGACTTTTTTTTTGAAAAGTCATATAGTCACATGGTGTACAATTAAATCTCCTTCCGAATCCCAATCTCTCTGAGGCCTCCATTGTCAGGATGTATTCTAAATCTTTTCAGGGACTTTTAATGCATTTACAGGTGTCAGATGTATTTGTGCACGCATGTGTGTGTGGGGGGGGTGCCCTTCTTTTATCTTCTTTAACATTTATTCACTTTTGAGAGATAGGAAGAGACTGAGTGTGAGTGGGGAAGGGGAAGAGAGAGAGGGAGATACAGAATCTGAAGCAGGTTCCAGGCTCTGAGCTGTCCACACAGAGCCTTATGTGGGGCTTGAACTCACAGACTGCAAGATCATGACCTGAGCCAAAGTTGGACACTCAACCAACTGAGCCACCAGGTGCCTCAGTTGCTCTTCTTGTAATTACACATATGGGAGCAATCTATAAATTTTTCTGAAACTTGCTTTTTTAATTTAACAGAATATCCTCGTTATATTAACGTATGTATATTAAGACTGGCTCCCATTTATTCCATCCTACAGGTGTGCCTTAATTTATTTAACCAGACCTCATTAACAGACATTCTCACTCCTTGTCACTTCTTCCCTAAAATAGTGAAATATTTTCCTAACCAGCCATCCCTTCTCCTTTCTATCCCTCCTACTTGAAGGGCAAGTCGGGCGCCTGAGTGGCTCAGTTGGTTAAGCATCTGATTCTTGATTTCAGCTCAGGTCATGATCTGACAGTTGCGAGATAGAGCCCTACATTGGGCTCCTTGCTGGGCATGGAGTCTGTTTAAGATTCTTTCTCCCCTCTCTCCCTCTGCCCCTCCCCCATTCACTCACATGCTCACATGCATTCTCTCTGTCTCTCTCTCTCTCAATCTCAAGAAAAAAAGAAAAGAAAACAAAACAAAACAAAATAAAATAAAATAAAATAAGAAGAGCAGGCATAATGACCTTTGTGTTTTCCCACAGTACCCATCATGGCACTTAGGATGGTTCATCCAATGGGGCCAATTCTGCTCCCTGAGAGTTGTTAAGTCCATCATGTGTCACACTCCATAAATGTTTACCAAATGAAAATGAGTAAATGCTTGAAGGGAAGGAGGAAAGGAGGGTGGAATGGAACCCCCTAAGGGAAGACTGGAGAACAACGCCTCCTCCAGTTCTTTAGGCCTCACATGGGGTAGAAGTCAGAGCAGTTTGGATCCTTTCACAAAACAAGAGACAGTTGGCGGCTGGCATACTTTTTACCAACACTGCACAATGTGTTCAAAACTCACCACTGGCCACATACTTTGAAACATGCTCTCCCAAGGGTATGAGAAGCTGGATATTCTTCTTATGACTGCCAAGCAACGGCCGAGGCCCCCTTCTGACAGCAGCTCTGACAGCAGTGGTACAACTGAGCAGGACCAGGAGACAACAGACATGCTCAAGGCTGGAAGACACCAGGAAGACACTGGACCTGACCTGGCTTCTGAGAAGAAAAGAGAGTATGATCTTCTCATGCTGAAGAATGCACCTGAACCTGCCGCCCAAGACAACACGGTGTATGCGCAAGTATTCCTCAACTTGCAGGTGAGCTCCTTGGATCAGTCCACCTTCCCTCCTCTTACACTTCTAACAGCATCCAATATCCTGGATGACTTAGTCCCTCCAAACTGGGAGCCAGGACCAGCAGCACATGAGCAGACAATTGTGGCTCTACTCATGTTTACCAAACACTGGGGTCCTTGGAGTGAAGGAGCTCATCCTCAGCTCCCAACTTGGGCCATTAATAAGGGAGGTGTCAAGCAACCAGAAGCACTGTCCCCACTGCACTAAGGCAGACACCACCCTCTGTGTGAAATCTGAGCCTGTTGGGGGGTTCCCTCTCTTTAGGGGCTGAAGGTGAAAAGCTCTCATCTGGTGAGTATGGATAGCCTGATGTTGGTCTGTTACAGGAAAAGAACGTAGTTCCTCAGCAGAAAGAGAGTTCAGCCACAATCTACAGCTGTATACAGACACATCAGAAGGTGAGAACAGTTTTCTCTGTATCCCGAGGCTCCTAAAATAAGAAATTATATTTTAACTGAAAGTCCTAGATTTCCATGGCAAAGGAGCTTAAGTCTATCCACTACCCATCCCCCTGACACACTGCATGGTCAGCAGAGATGCTTACACAAATATTGCTGGTTTACATCCGTTTGGCCAAAGGCTGAATATTTCTAATTGAATTAATAATATTTTATACTGATTATTCTTAACACTGACTAGAATGAGATGTTATAAACATAAATATTGTATGATCTATATATATTTCTAAATCTTTTTTTTTTTTTTTTTTAGCTTTTTCTACAGCTAATCTTTATTGCTTACTTTGGACCAGGAATTGTGCTAAATGCTTCACAAGTTGTCATTGTTGTTGTTTTTAATGTTTTTATGTTTTTTATTTATTTTTGAGAGTCAGAGAGAGACAGTGTGAGCAGGGGAGGGTCAGAGAGAGGGAGGCACAGAATCTGAAGCATGCTCCAGGCTCTGAGCTAGTTGTCAGCACAGAGCCCGACGTGGGACTCGAACCCACAAACCTTGAGATCATGACCTGAGCCGAAGTCAGACGCTTAACCAACTGAACCACCCAGGTGCCCCTTATGTTTATTTATTTTCAAGAGAGAGAGTGTGTATGTAAGCAGGAGAGGGACTCAGAGAGAGGGAGACACAGAATCTGAGCAGCTCCAGGCTTTGTGCTGTTAGCACACAGTCTAATGTGGGACTCAGACTCATGAACCATGAGATTATGACCTGAGCCGAAGTCCGATGCTTAACCAACTGAGCTGCCCAGGTGCCCCCTAAACCTATTTCTAACCCATCTTAATCCACCAAAATGACAATTTCCAAAAACATTAGAAATTATCCAAGAGTCCAATTCCAGAGTGTTTTGGAGAATGTGCTATTAACTACAACACATTGGTTTTATTGTGTTGTTAAAAGATCCCTTAATGGTAGAATTTACTATTAAATAATAATAATAACTAACTTTAACATGAAATTTTACAGTTTACAAAACATTGCTATTCTCATGACACCTCTACAAATGTGCTGTCATCCTGAAGCTGAGATGCAGAGAAGTTAATTTTGCCTAACATCATGCAGATAGTAGTTGGACTTTCAGTATTAAAAAACACAAGGAGTTTTAAAATAATCCTGAGTCATCTTAAACAGTTAACCTTGACTTGAATCTAGCTGCCTGCTCCACTTTCACTTCTCTGAGAACACTGGGTTCATATATACTTTTGTTTTCAAATCTCCTCCAGAATTCCCTCCCAGTTTTTCTCCTTGTTTTAACATGTTCAAACAGATTTTTTTTTATTTTTTTTAATGTTTTATTTATTTCTAGGAGAGAGAGAGAAACAGCGTGAGCAGGGGAGGGTCATAGAGAAAGGGAGACACAGAATCCGAAGGAGGCTCCAGGCTCTGAGCTGGCAGTCAACACAGAGCCCGACGCGGGGCTCGAACCCACGAACCGCGAGATCATGACCTAAGCGAAAGTCGGACGCTTAACCGACTAAGCCACCCAGGTGCCCCTCAAACAGATTTTTTTAAATGTCTGTTTTATTTATTTTGTGAGATAGAGGATGTGCAAGCAGAGGAGGAGCAGAGAAAGGGGGAGAGAGAATTCCAAGCAAACTCCAAGCTCAGCGTGGAGCCCAACATGGGACTCAATGTCACAACCCTGAGATCATGAGCTGAGCCAAAACCAGAAGTCGGATGTTCTACTCACTGAGCCACCAAGGTGCCCCCAAAACAAGATTTTAAAAAAGAAGAACCCTCAAAGCTTTTCAGTTATGCTGCTTCTCTGTGATTGATGAATCAACCATTAGCTATTTATTGAACATCTTTTGTTTGCCCAGAACTGGGCTGAGTGCTAGAGGGATTCGTATATCTTGAAGGCACCATCTTTAACCTTGAAGACCTGTTGTCTTATCTGGCTTTCGGTGGAAAAGTGGAACTGATTCAATCACCTGGAAAGATAATGAAAACACTCTACATACCACTGGTTAGTTGGGCAGTTCCCAAGGGTTTTCCAGACATTTGAAGTAGAAGATACCACTGCACTGAGGTAGAGAGGAAAAGCTCCATGAAAAAAATAATTTGGATTAGACCTTAAGAGATGGATAGAGGGGCGCCTGGGTGGCTCAGTCGGTTAAACATCTGATTTTGGCTCAGGTCATGATCTTGTGGTTCGTGGGTTTGAGCCCCAAATCGGGCTTTGTACTGATGGTGCAGAACCTGCTTGGGATTCTCTCTCTTCCCCTCTCTCTGCCCCTCGCACATTCTCTCTCTTTCAAATAGGGTTTCAAAAAATGGATAAAATTTGTTCAGTAAAAGTTTGTGCAGATATGTAGCTCAGTTCAACCATCATCGGCCTCCTGTCCTGTCTTGTGGAACGTGGCCTATGCTGAGCCAGTAAAGGATGTCACCTCTGGCCTTGAGGCCATACCTGCACTTTTCACTGTATTCTCTGACCTGGCTCTCTGTGTTTGAGCCAATACTGGTCAATCTTAAAGTCATGGACATCAGTCCCTGCTCTGAGTTTCAGAATGGCCTGGCATCACCACATGTCCCATCAGTCGTGCATGGCTCCCACACCACCCCAGGGACTCCAGACCCCTGCAACCACCCTCACCCACAGCCTAAGTGGAAAGCAATACATTTCCTCAACCAAGGTCTTAACAGAAGTTATCCCTTGCCTTCAGAATTTTCAAGACCGATCCTGATTCTGGGTTCCCTAAGGCTATCATTGCCCACTTGATCAGGAAATTCTCAGACTTATTTTCTGACACAAGTCTCTGCATGATATCTCAAAGGTTTATGCTACCATCAAGCTTTTGCTGTCACCTAGCCTCCCCTGCTCTCTGCATCAGCTCACATCTCACCTGTTCCTCAGAGCCTTCCCTGAGCACTCTCACACAAGGAGTCCTCAGAACCCTGGGAACATGAAGGCATAATGGTCTGGACCATGACTTTGATCCATAACCTCAGCCACCTGAAGTATCTTTACATCGATGTTTGTCTTGCTTCTCCAGCTGGGGTAGAGACTGAGTTCATTAGACCATAGCTTCTTGAGAGCAAGGCCTTTTATTGTCATTTTTGTATCCCCTCACCTAGAAGCACTAAATTGTCCTCTCTCTCCCTTACAGAGAGCCTAGTCAACTTCCCATTAGGAGAGTCCCCATAAATGCCTGCCATCAGCTTGATGGGTTGTTCCTTTGCGGGGCCAGTCCATATGATCTGACTTCTACACCATGGACCAATCCTAGCCTGGCCTTACTTCCCTCTCTCACAAGCACAGGGGTAAAGAAACCAGGGCCTCCCAGACTTTATTAATCATATTCTTGCATGTCTTTTGGCTCACAGGTGGTGCCGCCCCCGGAACAGAATGATCTGGAATCTCCGGAAACCCCTACCTATGAAAATTTGAACTGAAAAGAAAACCAGATGCTGCTTCCCTCCCTGTGGTTGGAGAGGCTTCTGGGCTGTGTAGGGCTTGGTGCTCTACAGACATAGCACTTCAGAACTGCCTTCAGGGTCTCAAAGATGTCTGGATTTGACCCTCCCCCTTTCTTTCACCCTTGTAATTTCCCAGGCCCATGAATAAATCAGACACAGGCTCCTTCTTGGGGTCCCTGCCCTTCAAGATGTCCCTGCTCCATCCGTCTCCACACATGCTCAGTTTCCCCTCTCAGTTCAGAGGCACAACCTTAGAGCTTTGCCAAGGCTGGCCATGTGTGGTTGAAAGGGCCCTGGATCTTCACACCGTCTTCTAAACAAGTGCTAACAGGAATCCAATAGAGATTCTCACTCATGGGCACAAAGATCTTTGTAAAATCATGCCCACTGCAGTATCTTTTAAAATAAAAGGACAGAGGGGCACCTGGGTGGCTGTCAGTTAAGCGGCCAACTTTGCTAAGGTCTTGCTGTTCGTGACTTGAAGTCCCACATCAGGCTCTGGGCTAACAGCTCAGAGCCTGGAGCCTCCTTCAGATGTGTGTCTCCCTCTCTCTCTGTTCCTCCCCCACTCATGCTCTGTCTTTGTTTCTCAAAAATAAACATTAAAGTGTTTAAATAAAAAGACAGAAACAACCTCAATGTCCATTTAGGAAGAATCTAGCTAAATGCATGATGGCATGTCCAGGCAACAGCAAGCCCTGCCACTTTTGTAAAGAAAGGAAAGATTCATATGCGCTAATATGGAATGAGCTCTAAGAACGGAAAGAACAAAGTCCAACACAGAGTTTATCACATGCTACCAGTTGGATAAAGAAGAAATGTATATCGGGGCACCTGGATGGCTCAGTCAGTTAAGCGGTCAATTCTTGAATACAGCTCAGGTCATGATCTCATGGTTTGTGAGTTCAAGCCCCACATCGGGCTCTACTCTGGCAGCATGGAACCTGCTTGGGATCCTCTCTCTCTCTCTCTCTCTCCCTCTCTCTCTCTCCCCCTCCCTCCCTCCCTCTCTCCCTTCCTCCCATCTCTCTCTCTCTCTCTCTCAAAAATAAATAAATGTTTAAAAAATTTAAAAAATTAAAAAGATCAGTGGCTGCTTCTGGGGAGTGAACTGGGTTGTTTTTACTATATACTTTTTTGTACTGCGGATTTATTTTCTTAATCATATGTGTGTATCACTCTTTTGATATCTTTTTTAAGGGCTTAAAATGTCCCTTCCACATAAGCTTCTCATATCCACCCAAAAGAATTTCCCTCATTACTGTCAGGTCTGGATGTAGAGCAGTCATAGTGTCTCTCCTCTCCCCCAGACTATAGCACAACCTTATTCCCCTTTCTGTGAGTTGTACTACCCTTGACTTATTTTCATGATACTATAGTGTATGTTTCTGTCACATGCACCTTGAAGCCATTTATTTTTTTTAATTTATTTATTTCTGAGAGAGAGAAAGAGAGCACGAGCTGGGGAGGGGCAGAGAGAGAGGGAGACACAGAATCGGAAGCAGGTTCCAGGCTCTGAGCTGTCAGCACCCGAGCTAAAGTCAAACACCCAACCAACTGTGCCACCCAGGCACCTCAAAGCCCATTTATGTCCTTCAGTGTTGGAATTCTGGTGTCATACTCTCCTGCACGTGGCCTGTGGAGTCAATAAATCTTCTGTGTCCTACAGTGGGTACTCCCAGGGGCCAAGCAGTGCTTCATACACAGCAGAAGTTTAATTACTGCTTGCTTGCTGGCTGGTCATTGCATGGATAATTTTCCTTGTAAGGCATTATTACAGAAGCTCAATGAAGACACATAATATGATGATGTTGTATATTATCACACTCCAGAATACGGCATCCCAAAAAGCCCTGGGCCCATAGGATCTCTTCTGCTCCTTAGATAACTCTGGCCAGCTCAATTTCCACACAACACAGGATTCATGAAAGGCCAAGTCAATGGTGAATGTCTTTGGTGTTCATCTGAAATGTTCCAACAGCCGCCATTTCCTGCTCCTTCTGCTTCCAAACTCCTGATGCTGCAACTCAGCTCCCAATACATGCTCCAGAACCCCCATACTCCTTTGGCATATGTTTTCCTGGTTTTTACCCCTCACACCTACTCCAAAATGTGGTCTGTCCACATTTATCTCAAGGAATCCAGCCAACCAGCCACACAGCTCCCAGGGGACAGGGATAAGGCAGGACATGAGCAAGTGCATTCTGCGACTCTTCCCCATGAGACTGAGTGGCCCTGGATCCAGGAATCCTGGGATCATCTGCTCCAGTGTGAATAAGGCTGAGAGACACTGACAGCTTACAAGGAGTCTCGACCCCTCTCCAGTAGGAATTAAATAGACGTGTGTTTAGTGATGGGCATAAACATCTATTGGCTGCGATAGAGAGGAAAAGCACAGGATACAGAGGGGGCACATTCAGAAAAGAAATACAGAGTGGGGTAATTGAAGAACCAGGCTCCATATGCAATAGCCACTGTTGGGGTCTCTGGTCTCTGAGTAGGACCTCTTCCTGCTCACCCTCATCCCTTTCCTGGGCTTAGCCAGTCTCGGGCCTGGTCCTCACAGCCTTGTGGAAGAGTCTGGCCTGAGGACTCTGGGGAGCCCAGCTGAGTGTCTAGTTTCCAGCTGTTTGGCTGACTGAGTCTTACCTCCACCATGTGCTGTGGAGAGCACTCACCAGCACTCAACACGTCAACAGAATATGGTTTCTAATTGTGAAGAATTTGTGAAGAAGCTAAAACAGATTTCTAATAATGTGTTTTTAATCAATAATGTGTTAATAATCAAACATCTCACTGTAGACAAAAACTGGTCTCACTGTCCAGTTATTAGGACAGCATGGGCTCAGGGTGATTTTTCCACTCAGAAATGGGTTTACTTCGCACCATCTACTCTCACTCCTGCATTCTCCCTTGTAACCAAGAGGCCAGAAGGAAAGGTTTAATATGCATTGGGGGAGGTTTTCCTTTGTATTTGAGGAAAGCCTAGGTCTGATCCCTTGGAGAAGCTGCCTACAGCTTACAGCTAGTTAGTCCATCCTCACGGGGTGGAGCTGTTTCTTTTCCTCTGAGTCACCATTACCTTTCCTTCCCCTTTGGAAGATAGGCCTGGGTAAGGGGGGGGTCTAAAAACGTAGTCATCTCAGATTAAAGAAGAAGAGAGATGAGTAACTCTTTAGAAATCCAGGGGGAGGGATCTTGATGCTAATAACAACAACACTTCTGTATTTGCTTAGCATTTGAGAGACTTGCTGTGTGTCCGTGGACCTGTTTTGCAGTCTTTTGCAAACTACCCAACCTCTCCACCCATTCTTGTCCAGTCTGTAAGTTGAGAGATATGATTTAACCGTCTTGGCTGAGAGAAATCATTTTCAAAACAAGATGTGGACTCTGAACAAACTCCCATATCTTCTCCAGACTAGGCACCATTCTGTAGACTCATGTGATATCATCCATTGGGCTGAGTCCCAAAGCAGATGCTGGGATGTAAGAGAGGAGAGAACAGCGACAGCAACTAGGAATATACACAAAAGTTCTCCAGCTCCCTGCGGCTCAGTCGACCAGGGTTCTGGGCTTTGAGTTGTCTCTTTCCAACCTGTGGAAGAAAAGAAGAACTTCAAACCCTTCCATAGGAGATCTTCACAACACCCTTGAGAGGTATGAATTATTACCCCCCATTTTACAATTTAAAAAATGAAGCCTGGAGTGGTACAACAAATAACTCAGGGTCAACGACTAGTATGAAATAAAGGAGGGGCTTGAATCCAGTTCTCCTGGCTCCAATTCTAGTGGGTGTGTTTTTTTTTTTTAACGTTTTATTTACTTCTGAGAGAAAGAGACAGCATGAGCAGAGGGAGGTCAGAGAGCGAGACACAAAATCTGAAACAGGCTCCAGGCTCTGAGCTGTCAGCATAGAGCCCAATGAAGGGCTCAAACCCTCGAACCGTGAGATCATGACCTGAGCCAAAGTTGGCCACCCAACCGACTGAGCCACCCAGGTGCCCCCTAGTGTTTTTTTAACCACACCACAGTTCTTCATGACCCCACCCTAGATTGTGGTGGCCCACTCAGTGTCCTCTGCAACACTAGACTGTCCAGTTGACATTAATGTGGGGCTACAGCTGAAGTGCCAGGAGTCCCAGCAGACACCCATCTGCCTTCTCACTTTGACCACTGGCAACCTCTTTATTGGACCATGAGGCTAGTGGGTGGGAGTGCCCTCCATGCCTTCATTTCTCTGAGTATAAATGGGAAGTATAATTATGTCTACCTCCATAGCATTCTGTAAAGATCAAATGAGATAATTTACTTGAAGTCACTATCAGGCTGCAATATACATAATACATCTCCAATACACCCTCAACTGTTGAGTCCCTACTTTCCATTCCTTAAATGGTCTGATGGGAATCAATTCAACTACCAACATCAATGGTTACTTTATAGTGTCCACCGCCAGTAGCAGCTTAAGATGGCCTATGTCCTAGAATGGTTCCTAATCACTTGTTAACTTTAGAAGATCATTTAGATTTACTTATCTTCCCTTCTCCACACTCCTGCCCTACACACCTTGGAAAGGAGAGATGTCCAATATATGGCTCACAACTGGGAGACTAACCAGAGGAGAGCCCTAATGTAAAACCCAAGCTCCGCAGTAGGATACAACACCAACACATGATATGACCTTGAATTAGACCCTCACTTCCCTTGGACCACAGTTTCTTTGTCTCTAAAATGAAAAGTTGGATTAGAAGTTCCCTAAAATCTCTACAACTCTGAGACTCTATGCATGACTTTTTCACAAGTATACAACTTCAAGGCTCTTCTATGGGCACTGAACCCATTCAGAAGGAACTCTAGAATCTTACCTCTTCATAGATAGTATTATTGAGGGATGATCTGTGGCTCTTCTTGGATTCAGACTGGAAATTCAGAAGGTAAAGAGTGCTTAACTTCAGGTTGGGAAATGTCCCACTCCTAACTGATGTGAGGCCCCAGAACAGACCTCTGAACCCACAGCCAGAGGTAAATAGAATCTCCTATCCCAAGAGTAAACAATGGAGTTTATGGTTTCCATAAGAAGGCACAATACATACTTCTGTGTGACATGACATTTCTGAACCAAACTCAGAGTTTGGTATCCCACACCCACATACCCCTCAGGCACACACATATACACATTCCCAGCAAATACACACATGTCCTCCGACAGCCCTGATACAAATACCGCCTCCGACCATGCATCTCATCAACACATAGCAAATGCACACACCCTTAGCATAAGCAGTTTTAGCACACACATAAGAACTGACCGTAACACATACCCTGACCCTGATCATGGTGAAACACTAGAAACATTGAAATTCAGCACTCTCAATAGTATGTAGAGTCTCCATAACAACACCGAGCATGTGACCCTGGTGCCTGGGACCATCCATTTGTCCGTGTTTTGCAGCACATAACTTCAATATAAATCTTTCTTATGGTGGAATCCAAGTTGATTGAAAGACTTATTGGAAGGACAGTGAATAAAAAAGCCTTAAAACCTGTTTTAAACCTCTCCCTCATTTGACTCTGACCTGTGTGTACTCAACACTTCTACAGTTCGGCATATTCCCAATTTCCCATACTACCATGTTAAGTTAGTGTCTTCATACTGTGACTCCAGCCTCGGAAAAAGCATTCTTCCAACCCCTCTCCCATCCAAGGTGAAAAGATGACCATGGGCACCAGGTACACATAAGAGTTGTGAGCTCAGCTTAGATCAGGATTTAAGGGGACTATGATGGGTTGCCTCAGCCTAGAGCCCCCCACCAGCAGATGACTGACCAGAACCTTTTTCTGGTTGCTGAAAGTCACCATTGTGTCTCTTTAGGTCCAGGCTACTCCTCTGGCTCTGGGCTATATTCTCCCACCTTGGAAATCCCTCTAGTGTCTCTCGCCGCTATAACCTCAGCTGACCTCCTGAGGACTCCATGGTCCCTCTACACAAAGCACTACCTTTCTGCCTCTGACTGTCTCACAGAAACTCCTAGAAAGCCCTTTAATCCACTGTTCTCTTAGCCACCAACCTGTTATTTTTCTCCAAATAGAACCAGAAATGCATTTCTAGTTGGCCCATTAACATTTAAATAGAGCCCTTTAACCCGAGCTGCTCAGAAACACACACGGAAGACAACTCACACGGAAGCGCACACACACTAGGCAAACATGCACCTGCCTATGCACACACAAAGTAAACATCTGCACCCACAGCACCCCCTAGAGAAAGAGACTTACCTTCCGGGAAGTCTGTACCAGTGCATACAAGGTATTTGTTTCTTGTGATGTGGAAGCAGAAGGCTAATGAGAAAACAAGGAAAAGAATTTCAGCAGTATGGTTTCGGCACAATCCTAGGTGGGGAGGTCACCTCTTCTACCCCTCCTCCCAATTCCTCCCAGACAGAGCTCACGGTATTAGTCAAAGGAGCCCTGCACTGGTCAGGAGGTCAGACAACCTGAATGCTAGCCCTGCTGTGTCAATAAAGATAGCTGATATTCGTTCAGCACCTACTGTGTACGTAGTCTCCCCCAACCCTTATAACACACCTATACAATATGAATGATCACCACTTACCCCATTCTACAGATGAGGCTCCTAAAGGGTAAATTGTCCAAGTCAGACAGTAGATTCACAGTAGAAGCAGAACTTAAACTCCAGACTCTCCACAGTGCTTTCCTCAACACCTAAAATGTCTCCCTTTGGCAACACGCTTTCCTTCTCTGCACCTGAACCACGTGTTCTTAGAGGCAGGTAACCATCCTCCTTCTAAGAACTCCAGAGGGAGAGGCTCTTTCTCACTCAACATCTCGGTCTGAGATGAGCTCTTCCTTGAATTTATTCAGATTCTTTTTGTGGGAACCTAATGTGGCCAAAGCCAGAAAACTGGCAGCTATCTTGCATCTCTCCTTAAGGCTCCTTGACTTTGACCCACTCTCAGTGAATCCCATTATCTTATGGGGAGCAGGAAGAGGCAACCCCCAACTTGGGAATTCCAGAGTGGCCATGAGAGTTGAGCGCTTCCCTCCCTCCTCCCTCCGCTCCTCTTTTCCTTCATTGTCCTCCCTTCCCCTCTACCCCATTCATCTTCTCCTCTTCCCCCTTCTCTTGATCTTTCTCTGAAGCCTATTACTATCCCTCAGTGATTTTCTTTGCCCTGCAGCTTGGCCACCAAATTCAAGAGGTTGCTCCTTCAGGACTTAATTCTTTAAAAAATAAAGAATTAGGGTCACCTGGGTGGCTCAGTCAGTTGAGCCTCTGATCCTTGATTTCGCCCCATGGTGAGTTTGTGCCTTGCATCAGGCTCCGTGCTAACAGTGAGGACCCTACTTGGGATTCCTTCTCTCCCTCTCTCTGCCCCTCCCCTGCTCACGCTCTCTCTCTCTTTCCCTCTCAAAAACAAATAAACATTTTTTTTAAAGAATAGGTTTTAATTTTTAAAAATTTAAAAACTTTAGGTCATTTTAATCAGAAATATTTCATCACTGGCCACCTAGAGGCAGGCACTGTTACCCTTGAGAGAGATGCCCTGGCCTAGGTTGTAATGTCATTTTAGCTGCCAAAATTAGAGGATGATTCTCCAGTTTAATGGCTGAATTCTTTAATCCCAAAATGTTAGAGATGGGGAGGGGCAGGTGGAGTGGAGGCTCAGAAGCCTTTTAGCTCATCTTTGCCAACTACCTGACTATGTGGCCTGGAGCACATTAATTAACCTGTGTCTGTTCCCTCAGCTAGGAAATGGAGGTGGTATTAGACCTACTTCATGAGACTGTTTTGTGAGATTCATTAAGGAAATAGAAATAGGGGCATCTGGGTGGCTCAGTCGGTTCAGCGTCTGACTCTTGGGCTCAGGTTGTGATCTCACTGTTCATGAGTTCAAGCCCCATGTAAGGCTCTGCACTGACAGTGTAGAGCCTGCTTGTGATTCCTTCTCTCTCCCTCCCTCTGTTCCTTCAGGGCTCTCGCTCTCTCTCTCTCTCTCTCTCTCTCTCTCTAAGTAAATAAAATAAACTTTAAAGAAACGAAAATAGAGGGGCACCTGGGTGGCTCAGTCAGTTGAGTGTCCACCTTCAGCTGAGGTCATAATCTCGAGTACGTGGATCTGAGTCTTGTGTTGGACTCTGTGCTGATAGCTAGCTCAGAGCCTGGAACCTGTCTTTGGATTCTGTCTCTCCCCTCTCTCTGTCCCTCCCTTGCTCTCTCTCTCTCTCTCTCTCTCTCTCTCGAAAACTAAATAAACCATTAAGAACTAAATAAAAAATAAATTAAAAATATAAAAATGAAAATAGACATAGTAAGTACTTAATAAATGTTCTTGTTAAGTCATAATAAAAGAGAAAAACCCAGATCTGTTCTTTCCTGAAAACAGATATAATAAGGAACAGAGATTTTTAAAAAACTATAAAGGCCCCCAGTATTGATAGTAGCCGGGAGGGAGGACAGAAGCTGGGTGCCGTGACAAGCTCACTCTTCATACTAACTATCTGGGTCACACCTGCTGCAGGCATGCAGAGAGAAAGAATGCCTGCCTCAGATTTCCTGGCCCTGTTCAGCTCTGCCAAGACACTTCAGAGACACATGGGTCTTTCAAACAACTTCACACACCTGAGGCCAAGCTGCCTTTTAGACTCTAGGAGCATCAAGCTCTTATTTCGTCATTCAAAAGCGGGAGCTTCCGAAAGGCATTAGGAAGCCCCATAGACAGGTATGGAATGGATTTGAGAAAGCAGAATGGTACCTGGGACTGGATCATGGAGTAGATGGTGTTCCCTTCTCCAGGGGGATTCAGCTTCTCCTCCTGTACAAGAAATAGTAACAGGCTCAGTCTGTTAAGCGTCTGACTTTTGATTTTGGCTCAGATCATGATTTCACAGTCTGTGAGATTGAGCCCAGCGTCAGGCTCTGCACTGATGGCACAGAGCCTGCTCGGAATTCTCTCTCTCCCTTTCTGCCCCTCCCCTGCCTGCTTTCTCCCTCTCTCTCTCTTCTCTCAAAATAAATAAACATTTTAAAGGGGCGGGGAGTGCATCTGGGTGGCTCAGTCAGTTAAGTGTCCAACTTCAGCTCAGGTCATGATCTCACAGCTTGTGGGTTTGAACCCTGTGTTGGGTTTTGCGCTAACAGCTCAGAGCCTGGAGCCTGCTTTGGATTCTGTGTCTCCATCTCTCTCTGTTCCTCCCCAACTCATTCTTTGTCTCTCTCTTTCTCTTTCTGTCTCTCTCTAAAATAAATAAACATTAAAAAAATGTTTTAAAGAGGGGCTTCTGGAAGGAGGTGGTCATTAATCATCCCAGGATGGGGAGAAACAGTAAAAAGAAAGACTCGCACGGGAGTCATTCAGGGTCACATGCAAGGAACCACCCCGGTTTGAAAGGATACCACCAAGTGACCCTGTCCCAGGGGTCTCCTGTCACTTGCTTCACTTTGGTAACTTAGAAACTTGCCTTTGCCACATAACCATTGAGAATGGGCCGAGCTCTGAGTAGGGCTGTGATCTGAGCCTTACTTCAGGGGCTTGAAATTCAGAGGTTTTCACCATTTGAAAGCCCCTCTCTAGATCCAGCCTCGGCAGCCAGTTTGCCCTTGGCCTCAAGCCAGCCCCTGGGCAGCTACGGAGCTGGGTGAAGCCCTGGACACAAGGCCAAAGGCATGTGCCTTTCCTGTTCCCTTCCTGCGCACAGGAGACTGGCTTGAAGGCATTTCATGTTGCCCACTCCCAAGTGCATATTGCCTGGTTGAGCTCTGATGGGGAGCCGGAGGAGGCCAACAGGGTTCCTTAGACAGGGAAGAAGCTAAAAGGAGCAGAAAAATAACAGCCTTCCTTGGAGGCTAAAGAGTCGTGGGCATCTGGTGAGAAACAGGAATTCCCTGCTTTTCTTTTCTACCCAGACCTCAGTGAAGTGTCTCCAGAAAGGTCAGAACCGGGCCCCAAAGGAAGGCCACATGAACCTGAGACTTGGGCCTTCGGACAGAACCCTGGAGCCAGGAGGGAAAAGCCAGCCAGGGATGAGGTCCCAGAAGGAGGAGCTCCTGAGTCAGAAGCAGAGAAACAGGCCTGAATCTCCCAAGAGGTTTCTTATACTCTAAATAGTTACTTTCCTCTGTTCGCCTTCATAGAGCTTCACCAAAAGGAGAGGCAATTTGTCACAAGCACTTGGGCTTCAGTGACTGTAGTTAGATGCACTTGCCCTCAGGAATTTGTCCCAGTGCCTGTAGTGATGGGAGAAACAAAAATCCTTTGTGTTCCACACTCCATTATTACACTGCTGAGCAAGGAAACGGAGCGGGTTGGGTAGCTGCCCCAATTCATGGTTCCCACCGAGCCCAGACCTGAGGGAAGTGGCTTCTCTGTTCTACGAGGCCTCACGCATGTGGCAGAGCGGATGAGCCCAGCCCCTGTGACTTCCTGCTTCACCTCCTCAGGCCCAGCACCAAGGAATGGGGATAGGAAGAGGGCCCTTCCTCTCCCCCACCCACCCTGGCCCACTGGGCAGTTCGGTTAGCCACTGCCTTCCCCCCCAGGTCTGTCACCACTTCCTGCCCTGTCCAGGGACAGAGCAATGGGCGGCAGCCTGCACCCTTGGGCAGTTCCCTCCCCTGCTCAGCCTCCCTAACCCTCCACCCCCCCCAACCACTCCATCCCTGGCTCCAGACGGTGTTGGCGCCTGCCTGCTGAGGCTGGCTAACCTGGTTCCTTTCTCTAGCACCTCAGCCAGACTCAGGTTTCTTCCCAAAATGCCGTGAATGCAGACCACTGAGCCAGCTGCCACACTCTTAAGCTTTGGCTGCTCGGGCTGGCATCCTCCGCAGCCTGGGCAACAATCAAGGGACCCAGAAAAGTAAACTTGGACTTGCAAGGGCACGAAAAGTCGTGGCCAGGCGCAAAGGCGCAAAATACGAGAAAGCTGGATTCTTCCCAGGGGTTAGCCCAGCTGGAGAGCCTGGGCAGAAACGAGGACACGGGGAGGGGGGGCCTCTGACGCAAGAGCAGAGTTCTGCCCTCTGCTGGAGCTTTGTCAGGCTCCATCCTTCTCAGCAGGTTTTCTACTGTTTTCTGCTTTTCTTCCACAGCCAGAGCTAGGAGGCTGCTGGGGGAAGATAGATGGAAAGGCTACAGATCACTTGGCCAGGGTGCTAATGTCGCTGCTCCTGATGGCCGTCCTCCCAAGAAGCATTTGCCAGGCCCATGAAGAGAGACCCCTAGCCCTAGGGTACCGTACTTGATTCCTTCTGATTTGCACGTTGTTGACGTCTTCATAAACTGTCAGAAATTCCTCTGGTCTGGACTCTGTGAGAGAAAAGCAGCAGGGACAGAGATGTAGAGAACTCCAGAGGGTGTCCCGTCCAGGCTTCTGCTTCTCATGGTCCCGCCTCCATCCGAGATGGCCAAGACCTCGAGAAAGGTTCTAGAAAGGAGGCAGATTAGTGCTCTCCCCAGAATACCCGCGGAGCATAGGACCAGCAACCACCCGCCATACCTACTCCATCAGGCTGGGCAGGCCCCCAGCAAACCAGCCACCAGCAAGCAAATCTGCAACTTGGGCTGTAAACACCTCGAGGAACCCCAAAAGGTGCGAGCTGGGAAAAAGAGCCGGGCAGCACTGTTTCCTCTCCACCCCTCACATGCACACACACATCCCAACGCTCCAGAAAAGAAGCAGGTGCTGTGCTCCCAGGCGTATGCGCTGGGGATGTCAGGTGGGGCAACAGCACGTCCTGGGGACCCTCCACTTACCTGGCTGCTTCCTCTTCCTCCTCCACACACAGAAGCCGATGAGGGCGCACAGGAACAGTATGATTAGACAGACCACGATGATCCCCAATAAGTGCAGAAACTCATCTTCTAGGGACATGGAAAGCATGAGGCCTGAGCTCTCAGCCTTCTCTCTTCTCCCTTCCCACCTGTCTGCCACAGGACTTGCCTCAGACCCAACTCCTCTCTGAGGCCCCGTTGAGTTCATCAGCAAAGTTGTCTCTCTGTGCAGTGGGGTGACCTCCTCTGAGTGATGCTAAGAGCATGGATACTAATATCTGACAGGCCTGTCTCCCTGGCCTTGGGCAAGTCCCTTAACTTCTCTGAGCCTCCATTTTCTCACTTATAAAAGGAGAAAATGTTGGGGCGCCTGGGTGGCTCAGTAGGTTAAGCATCTGACTTCAGCTCAGGTCACAATCTCACAGTTTGTGACTTCAGACCCTGCGTCGGGCTCTGTGCTGACAGTTCAGAGGCTGGAGCCTGCTTCAGATTCTGTGTGTGTGTGTCTCTCTCCCCCTCCCCTGCTCACATTCTCTCTCTCAAAAATAAACATTTTTCAAAAGGAGATAATGTTATCTACATAAGAGCGTTGATTACATGATCTAATATTTACAAATCATCTGGCACAGCATACGTTACATCTGTCCATTCTCTTCTTAACTCAACAAAACGTATTGCGTCCCACTATGTGCTGGGAAATTCTCCTATTTCTTCTTCCCTCCACTCTGCCTCCATTGTTCTTCCTCATTTGAACTTCTACATTTAACGGCTATGTCACACATGTAGCCTGATGTGTAAGCCCACCGGCAAGGGGAGAGGGGAAAGGAATTACGTACTCTTCACAAACATTACTTCATCTAATCTCACCAGCAATCCTGGGAGGTACCTGTTATCATCCCTCATATCACCCAGTAGAAAAATTGAGGCTCAGTGAGGTTAGGGAAACTGCCTGAGATCCCAGAGCTAGTGAATCATGAAACCATAGCTGACATGACCCAAAGCCAGTGTCCTTGTCACTCCAAATCGCTTCAGCTTGTTCGTTTCTTTTTTGCCCAGGAATGCCTAGTTTTCTTGCCCCTATTTGGCTGTAAGTTCTTTAAGGACAGGGACAGCACGTAGGTTTTTGCCTACAATGCCCATGGTGATGACACATTAGGGTCTTTATTTACCTGATAAAAATTGGTGTAAACTTAACTCAGGGTAACTCTTAGGATGAGAATAAGCAATAAACCAAGAACTCTTCCAGGAGCCCTTGTGATTATCCTGATATTCCCATGCCCCAGGGCACTGCTGTTACCTCTCAGGGAACTACATGGCCTGGGGGGGCGGGGGGGTATCATTCGGGAGGAGGAAGCAAGTTCTCCAACAGTCTCTCCGAGGAAGGAAGGGATGATCACCAGCCATAGCAGGGCTGTGACTCATCAAACAAGCATTCCCTGAAATGAAGGGAAAACTCACACCTCCTGGGAGATTCTTGATGGGGATAAAATTCTTCCCAGACTAAGATAGGGCTGGTTTATGGCAACTGTGTGCCCAGAGACCAGGACTGCCCCGAAGAGATGCTGCGAGGCACTTGAGGAGGCAGCCAAGGGATCTCATGTGCCCAAGTGTCTCTGGCATGAGCCTGGCCATGGGGTACAACATTTTCAGCCCCTGTTAGAGTCCAAGGTGCTCCACTTACGCTTGGAGTGCCTGGAGTCGCTCCGGCAGTGCTGGATGAAGGTGTGGTTTACCCAGCTGACCGAGTTGCTGACATTGCAGGTATATGTGTGCGAGCTGTTGGCATCGATCTGGTCCTCCAATCTGCTGAGATTCCTTGCTGTCTCGATCAGCCTACTGCCTCTATACCAGTCATAGCTCACAATACCACCTCTGGAGACGGAGCAGGACAGAATCACTTGGCACCTCCCTCCATCCAGGACCTTCTGGTCCTGTAATATGTGGGGCTCCCCTACATGATCTGGAAGCAGAGAGTCTGGTCAGAAAGGCCCTGGAAATAAAGGCCCTACAGGCATCGAGGGGCAGGCTGAGCTGTTCTAGGGACTCACCAAATACGGAAACCTCGAACTCGTGACACTTAACTCCTCCAACCTCATCAGTCACCGCTAAGATGTAGAAGCCGCTGTCCTGATGCTCAGCTGCCTGGATGATAAGACTAAAGTTCGTGGTTATAAAATTGAATTTCTTGTTGATGTGATTCGAAGTCCAATTTTCATAGTTGCAACAATTAGACATATTCTTCCATTTCAGTATCAAAGAAAATTTCGAAGCTGGGAACACCCGCCTCTTCCATTCAACATAGATTAGTTTCTTTGTCTCTATCGGGGGAGGCTGTAGCTTGAGAGACACTCCTGAGAGTCCAACCACACGTTCAGCAGAAACTCGGCAGAAACTCGGTTCTAGAAAAGAGAACCCAGCTGGAGGAGGTAGGAAGGGTGTCAGCCCTGAGCACTGTGGGCAATCGGATGTGACTTCTCTTGAGCTAAGAGGATGGGGCCATGTATGAGGAGCCCAGAGTCTAACAGAGCCTGGAAGTGTACTTCCTTTTCCTGCCTCCTCTCTCCACCAAGCTCTGTGCCCCTTGTTTGAAGGAGCCCACCAGCCAGTCATCGTGGCTAAAACCTCTTGACTTCTTACTGTGGGACAGCAGATTTTAAACACTTCATATGTTTTAACTATATTGAACTACATGTTTTAACAGTGGCCTTATGAGAGTTTTATCCTCATTTTACAAGTGAAAAAGAACTGAGTTAGAAAGAACTTAAAAGTTGGGGCGCCTGGGTGGCTTAGTCGGCTAAGCGTCCGACTTTCGCTTAGGTCATGATCTCACAGTTCGTGGGTTCGGGCCCCGCGTCAGGCTCTGTGCTGACTGCCAGCTCAGAGCCTGGAGCCTGTTTCAGTCTGTGACTCCCTCTCTCTCTGACCCTCCCCTTCTCACGCTGTCTCTCTCTCTCTCCTAGAAATAAATAAAACATTAAAAAAAAAAAAACAGAAAGAACTTAAAAGTAACTAACTCAAGCTACACAGTGAGAAAGATGATCTTGAAATCCAATCAATTTGTCTTTACAGGATGGACTCTTAACCACAATGTTATAAACACCATATCTGACGTGACTCCCTCCCTGCAGCACTGAGGTGCAGCTACTAGTGGTCAGCGGTGACTGCTGGAAATTCTGAAGGGCCAGACCCAGTATGCCTGACCTTGCAAGCTGAATCCATAGCTCACTCTGCTGTCCTCCCACAGAGAGATTCATAACCCTCTCTTGTAGCACTCAGCACATCAAACTGTGGTCATTACTTATTAATGTTTGCCAATTTTCTAGTCCCTAGAAAGCCTCCATGAGTATTGCTCCCTAAAGAATAATTAGAGACAAATTAAAGTACACTGGCTTGGTATATCCCAGCACTTGTCCTCTCTAGGGATCAAGAAGTATGCTAATCAGCACTCTCAACAATAGCCAAAACATGGAAAGAGCCTAAGTGTCCATCAACGGACGAATGGATCAAAAAGATGTGGTTTATCTATACCATGGAATACTACATGGCAATGAGAAACAATGAAATCTGGCCATGTGTAGCAACATGGATGGACCTTGAGGGTGTTATGCTGAGCGAAATAAGTCAGGCAGAGAAGGACAAATATCATATGTTTGCACGTATAGGAGGATTAGGAGGAACTTAGCAGAGGACCAAGGGGGAGAAGAAGGGGGGAAATGGTGGGGGAAAGGGAGATATGCAAACCATGAGAGACTCTTGAATGCTGACAAAAACTGAGAACTGATGAATGTAGGGGGGAGGGGGGATGGGCATGGAGGAGGGCACTTGTGGGGATGAGCACTGGGTGTTATGTGGAAACTAATCTGACAAAAAAATTATTTGTAAAAAAAAAAAAAGAAGAAGAAGAAGAAGTATGCTAATCAATGGGGGTGTGACAGAGCTGCTTGCTGTTGCCTACCCTAGGAAAGCCCAGTGCTGTCCATGAAGAAAACCGGAAGTTCCAGTGGTCATTTTTGGCAGGGAAGCTATGTGGCATGGCCCCGTGGATGCAGAAATAGAAAGGTCTGCCAGAGAGGGTCAGAAAGAATTTGGAAGAGAGACTAAGAGACAGAGGTTGGTATACAAACAACTCTGTTAACATAGAGGACATTGAGGGGAGAGCAATGGAGGAGATTTTTAGATGTCTGTATGCATTATAAACGCACTCACTCCCAACCACACCTTCCCCTTGCCATTTCTTCAGGAGCCGGAGTAAATAAAGAAACTTTAATTACTATTTGGTTGATAGACTGTACTTCTTTGATCTTGACACTCCCATGAATAAAACACACAGAGTTCCAGGACACCTGGCTGGCTCGGTCAGTAGAGCATGCGACTCTTGATCTCAGGGCTGTAAATTTGAGCCCCTTGTTGGATGTAGATATTACTTTTTTAAAAAAATCTTTAAAAACAAAAACAAAATCAAAGAAAACACATGGGATTTCTATTCCTATTCTCATGATTTGAACTGGCTCTGCCCATTGTCAAACCGGAAACAGACACCGTGCCTTTGTCCCCCACAGTCCTATATATGAGAACAGGCCAACCTATTAAACATAGCACAGAGATTCTTAGAACAATCCCCACTGGTTACAATCCCCAGTGTAACCAGAGCCCTGAAGAATTGGAGGCTGTTTGTGTTTAAGACATGGTTCCTGACTGCAGAGAGTTTGTGATCTGAGAGCAGAACATACTGTTATTTCACAGCATATATTGAATAGTTAAGATAAATAATCATCTAAAGAATTCTAATTCTAGGGGTGCCTGGGTGGCTCAGTTGGTTGAGCGTCTGACTTCGGCTCAGGTCATGATCTCACGGATCGTGGGTTCAAGCTCCGCATCGGGCTCTGTGCTAACAGCTAGCTCAGAGCCTGGAGCCTGCTTCAGATTCTGTATCTCCCTCGCTCTCTGACCCTCCCCTGCTCATGCTCTCTCTCCCTCTCTCTCAGAAATAAATAAAACATTAAAAAAATTTTTTTAAAGAATTCTAATTCTAATAATGGAAGACCACATTAATACATGCTAAGCAACCCTCCCACAAAAAATACTTAGGTGGGGCGCCTGGGTGGCTTAGTTGTTAAGCGTCCGACTTTCGCTTAGGTCATGATCTTGCGGTTTGTGGGTTCAAGCCCCACGTCGGGCTCTGTGCTGACTGCCAGCTCAAAGCCTAGAGCCAATTTCAGAGTCTGTATCTCCCTCTCTCTCTGACCCTCCCCTGCTCATGCTGTCTCTCTCTCTCTCTCCTAGAAATAAGTAAAAAATATTTTTAAAAAATACTTAAGAAAAAAATTAGCAAAATATAAAAGCATGTTGCCAAATGCATCAGGGAGCTAATAAAACAGTGAAATATTATGGGGCCAAGATCTGGAAGAAGGAAACTCAGAGGTAAGACCAGCATTTTTTAGTCCTATTCCCTGGAAGTTTGCAATAAATTCAAGGAACTAAAGGAACATGGAGTTCAGGAAACTTGTGTTAAGAAATGGGTATCCTTAAAATCCATCAGATTTGGGTTTGACAAGCTACACACTGAGAGTAAGAGTGAACAAGAAGTAGACAAGATCTCATAGGAACTGAAGCCTAGTTTTGAATGATATCAACTCTGAACTGGATTAAAGTGACCTAGAATTTCCTGGCTGGCTGTCTAGTAGAGGCAAATATAAATTATTCCTGAAGGAAAATAACATCAACATGGGCATTAATTATTTCTAAATTTTTCATACATAATGTCCAAAATGAAATTAAAAAAACAAGCCAGCATTAAGAAGAGGAAACATGTCCAAAACCCAAAAGAAAATATAGGCAATAGAAATAGGCTCAAGGGGAATCTAAGTAACAGAATTATGAGTCATAAACTTTAAGGTAATTATATTTAATATTTCAAGGAACTAAATTTTAAAGTTTGAAAATTTCAGCAGAAAATCAGTGTGATAGAATGCAAAACCAGACATACCCTTGCAATGTGACTTTGTAGCTCCTCTCATCATCATGAGATGGGGTTTGCTTCACTATCTCCTATAACTGGGCTGGCCTTCTGAATACATGGCAGCAAAAATGAGGTTGTGCCTATTCTAAGCCTATGTCTGAAGAGGCACTGCCCATTTCTACTTGTTTTCATGGAACCTTGTCTAGCTGACATGTTAATGACCACAGGTGAGGCCATCCTAGATCTGTCATCTCCAGCCATCCTGACAGCTAGCTGACCATATATGCATGAGTGATACAAGCAGAAACCAAAAGAGTAATCCAGCTGAGCCCAGCCAAAATTGCCAGCTAGCACATTCACTGTTGTTTTAAACTACTAAGTTTTGGGATGGTTCATTATATAGCAACAGTTATCAGATAAACTGAATTTTTTAAGGAATCAAATGAAAATTGTAGAAATGAAATATAAAATAACTGGAAAATCATAGAAATGAAATATAAACTAACTGAAAAATGAACTCATTGGAGAGGTATAAAAGCCATTTAGATGCCACTGAAGAGAGAATTAGAAAACTGGAAGATAAGGCAGAATAAAATATCCAGATTGAATTACACAAAAACAAAAGCAGGGCACCTGGCTGGCTCAGTCGGTAGAGCATGTGACTCTTGATCTCAGGATCATGAGTTCAAGCCCCACATTGGATGTGGAGTTTACTTAATAAAAAAATATATATTATAAAAGAGGGGGGGTGTCTGGGTGGCTCAGTCGGTTAAGCATCCAATTCTTGATGTCAGCTCAGGTTGTAATCTTGCGGTCTTAAGACTGAGCCCCACATGAGGCTTCACACTGACCAAGACCTTCTTGGGATTCTCCCTCTCCTTCTATCTCTGCTCCTCCTTCAGTTGCACACATGCACTTTCTCTCTTTCTCAAAATAAATAAACTTAAAAAAAGAGAGAGAGAGGAGAGAAAAGGATGGAAATACACAAGAAAAGGTGTAAGAAAAATCTGAGATATGGTGAAAAAATCTGACCAGGAGATTAGAGAGCCAGGAGAGGAGAGAGAGACAATTCAAAAGAAATAATGGATGAGTGGGGCGCCTGGTGTCTTAGTCGGTTAAGCGTCCGACTTTCGCTTGGGTCATGATCTCGCGGTTCGTGGGTTCGAGCCCCGCGTCAGGCTCTGTGCTGACTGCCAGC